GATCATACACAATGAACATGTGGCCACTTTGGAAAACAGCGTGGCAGTTCCTTACAAAGTTAAGATAGGCTCCCTGTGATAAAGCACTTTTAGTCTGGGTAAATACCCAAGAAAAATGAAGATAGGTCCACACAAAAACTTGTCCATAAATGTGCAGAGCAACAATGTTCACACAGGCAAAAAAGTAGAAATGATCCAAGTGTCAATCAACTGAGAAACAGAAACATAAAAGACAATACATCTAATACAATGAAATATAATTAACGAGCTGGGCATGGTAATTCATGCCTGTAATCTCGGCACCTGGGATCCTGAGGCTGGAGGACTGCCATGAGCTCAAGGCCAGCCTCAGACACACAGTAAGTCCAAGTCCAGCCTGAAATACATAGCAAGAATATATCTCAAAAAAAAGGAAAGAAGTACAATTGGTTAGTCACAGAAAATGAAGTGTTGGCACATGCTACAACATGGATGAACCTTGAAAACACAATGTTTATGAAGAACTCAGTCACAGAGAACCACAATTATATAATCATATTATGATTAAGATTCCATAGTGGGCAAAATGTAGAAAACAGCTAAGTAGTTGCCTAGGCCTGGAGCTGGGAGTGCAAATACAGAGTAACTGATATACATTGTTGTGGGATTTTTCATTGTGTTGGAAGTCTTAGTAGTGGTAGATGTACATCTCAACAATTGTTTAATTGTACACTTAAAACAAGAAGATTGCATGGTGTGTAGACTGTATGTCAATGAAGCTGTTTAATAAAAATGACAGATGAGACTTGCTTCCCCATTGCTGCCTCTCTTGGGTCCCTTATTTTGGGAGAAGCTAGCTGTTATGTCAATAGGACACTCAAGCCGCTTTATGAAGAGGTACACATGGCAGGAACTGAACATTCTGCCAAAATCACGTGAGTGAGCCATACCAGAAAGGGTAACCACCAGCTCCAGGCAAGTCTTCAGTGCCTGAAGTCCTGGCTAATGTCTATGACTACAACCTCACAACTGACCAAAGTCAGAACCATCAAACTAAGTAATTTCCAAACTCCTGATTCATAGAAAACATAACATTTTAGCCACTGGGGTTTAAAGCAATTTGTTACAGCACAATAGATAATTTTCCTCAACCTCTCCTTATATTAAACTCACTCTCTCTTGATGACAGGAATCTGAAGAAGTAGTATCTTTCTAGCAACCTTTCTTCCTGAGTTTATTTCACCCTTACTTGTAGTGGCTGCCATGTTAGTAGAATATGATCCCATCCCCATCCTTAAATGAATGAACCACAAATGGATTCCTGGCCAAAGCCAAGCCAATTAAGTACTTCCCTGAGATTTAGAACTGAAGCTGAGAAAAGGGCAGTGTCTTTCCTGAGTATCTACCTAAAGTTAAAAGATGTAAAACTTGGAAGCTGTCAGCAGCATGATCTTTCCTTTGTGTAAAAAGTGGGGGAGCCGTGGAGAAGAATGAAGTCATCACAAGAGACAGGCAGAGGTTCAAGACAAAACAGACAATGCAACAAGTGTCTAGTTCCAGTGATTCCTGAGGCAGCTCTGTCCTTCCAGTGGAGAGACCATATATGTCTTGTAACCACAGCATCTAAAATAATAGCCAGTACACAAGAAGTAATAAAATATGTATTGAATAAGTGAATTGATAAGATAGCCCAATATCTTTCCATAAAAGCTCCCTTTATTACTGCTGTTCACCAGAGTAATTTATTTAAAAGTTTAGCATCCTGATCTATCTTTTATACAACCCTGTTATGGTTTATGTCTAGATGTTTCCCCAAGGCCTCATGTGGTCAGAAGGCTTTTCAGAGGTGCCTGAATCTAGAGTGTATGATGCTGAGATTAAAGATGAATTGATAGGTAAATCAGTCTACTAATTGGTCTGATGAAGTTCTGGCTAGAATGAAGGGTGTGAGTGCTACACCCACTCAGGGCAGGTAGTCTGCACACAATGTTAGGGCCAGTAGGAGTCTTGTCTTTTTTCCCTTGTTGCTTTTGCTGTCTTCCACTGCCATGACTGATGCCCCTCTGGCATGCCACCCTGCTTTGGAGCCAACTGATTATGGACCTTTCAACTTTGATCATTAGGCATTTTGTCTCAGCAATGAGAAAAAAGTAACAAAGACATACCCCTCTATTATTATACCAAAGGGCAGGACACTCTTAAGTCATTCTTTACCATCAATCGCAGCTAGGCTAAAAATACAAACTGCACAAAAAATTTAGGTTTAAATTGATCTGCTTGATCCTAATACCCTGCATTCTTTAGCTTTTACAGTCACTTATCAATGCTCTAACATCTGCAAAGTCTGTAGACACAGTAAACTTGTAGACTTGCTCCTGTTTTCATTAAATGAATTCCTGAACAAATATTTGAGTGCCTACTATATGCCAGAGGCTACAAAGGACATGGTGTCTGCACTTAAAGATCTTAGAGTATAATATAGACAAATAGATTGTAGTATTCTATTAAATGCTATCAAGGAGACATGCACAGGCTCCTAAGCACCAGCAAGAATTATAGGGCATTTATCCTCTGTTTGAGAAGGCAAGACAAATACAGCAAAAGATAATATGGTATCCAGGCAATGTGACATAGACTAATGGCCAAATGAGTGATTTTATTTTCCAAATTGAACTAGATTAATTTGTACATTTTATAATAAGATACTGTTATGGAATTATTTTTAGATGAACGTTCAGCAAAGACTGCCTGAGTACCTAGTATGTGTCCATCAACCCTGCTTCACATTTTTCCAACAGTGTCTTGTTCAAATCTCACATTTCTAGATAAAAAGAAGTGAGTCTGAAAGAATTGACACTGACCTGCCTTTAAGTCTACATAGCTAGTAAGTGACAGCGCTGGGATGTATTACTGGCTTCCAAGTCCACTTCAGGTATGCCATGTTATTTGGATGATACAACTGGAGCAATTTCCACATTCTTATACTAACTTCTATTGCATTTTCACTCACCCTATACATACAATACAGTATTATGAGCAAACGGGTAATCAACAACTACCAACTTGATATGGCTATATGCTTGTCCTACTTAAGACAGCATTGTATCAGGTCAAATTATTCTGGTGCCTATGTGCTGAGAGGCGCAAGTTGGCTGAAGATGAGTGACTTTTTCAAGCTGTATTTTAACTGTATTTTTGACCACTATATCCAGTCAGTTATTCCAGCATTCAGCACTAAATCAAAAATGAGTGTTCATTTCCTTTGACAGTTAACAGTAGTAATGAATTCAGTATAACCTCATCATCCATCAGAAAAATTTCTAAAATGCAAACTTGAAGCAGATGATTCACACAGTTGGTAGAAAAAGGAAAATAAAGGAGCACTAATTGTTTCCTACAAAACTAGCATTGTTTGCAAAATCCAGAAAGTGAGCAGAGTTGGCTTGACTACGAATAGAGGAATAGGTTGTTCTTTGGTCACTGAGCAAAAATTGCTAATTGCACCATGATCGATGGCTAAAGAACACATAACTTCAAGTAGCTATTTCTGTACTGTACAAATTCTACACATAGAAAGCAGTAAGATTGAGAATCATTATGTAAGATGGGGAAAACATTCAGAATCTTCACACCAGAAAGCAATGAGCCTGGTGCAAATCAGCTACTAATACTGAATAAATGTACACTCAAAAAATGATTTAATAGCTTTTTGAAAACAGTAGCAAGAGAAAAACCTCACCAAACTTAAAAAGATTATGTCAGGAACTCAGACATATTATGGAGTAATATTCAAGATGTATTCAGAAGACCAAAAGCACAATGTTTAATTAAGCAAGCATGAATTTGACGCCTCTTTTATATTAACTCACCACAAATGGAATGCTAATCAGCAATCTCATTAAAAATCACAAAAACTAAAATAACTGTCCAACAGAGCTAACTTTAGGACCCGTTCAAATTAGAAGGAAGGTATACTAGGCATACATTTGAAACCTACTTATTTGGGCTTCCACACAATCCACAAATATTTTAATATGCCAAAGAAGCGTCAAAAATCTTATTGTCATAATATTTAATGATAATAACAAACGACTCGTTAAAATGTATTATCCATTCAGAAATGAAAAGGTTTTGCTACTAGGTGACTGGACTCCGTAAATATAAACCCATACTGTATCCACTGGTCCAGACAGGCATTTTCCAAAATGAACAACCTGGACTCACACAACGCAAAAGTAATTTAACAAGCATAATGCTTAGAATAAAACTCTAGTGATCTCAAACATTAGAATGTAAGCGCTTCAATGTTTGTGCCTGCACTTAAGAGTTTTAAATTTATAGCGCCCACACGTCAATAGATCTCCGAAAGAAATTCAAGGCCAAGTGTAGTATTTCGTGATAATCCCAAATGAAAGGACTCGGTCCCAAAAGTCCGCAGAGCCTCTTTATCTCACCAGACTGAACTCGTTAAAAGTCTGGGGCACAATCTCCCTTGATCTGCCATCGGACCACACACTTCCTTAAGGGTCTGCTCCCAAACCCTCACTGGGACCACTTCAAGGGGAGCAGAAGGGTGAAATGAGTCACGCTCCAAAACAAAGCGCCGCTCACTTCACACTGAGGAAGAAGTACCTTTCGCCCTGACAGGATGCAGGGACAGACGTGTCACCTGTGCGGGAAAGGGAGCGCGAAGGCATCCCCGCGACTGCCGCGGTTTCCCGGGCTCAAAAAAACTTTAAGCCCCCTCTCCCGGGCTCACCCCGACCCCAGGACCCCTCCCGGGCTCACCCGGACCCCAGGACCCCCGGCTCCCTCCA